CCGAGAACTCCGGTTACAGTATTTACTGTAGAACAGGGTTCAATAGAAATGGACAGACATCAAGATAAACTTGTCCCCGTTCAATCTAAAGCTTCGCTTAGTGTAGTGATAAGCGAACATAACGGGCTACCAGTTTAACATCGAAGCCAACGTCTCGAATCATGGCTTTTTATTAATGTGAGGAAGCGTAATCCTTATTTCGATATTGTAGGAACGCTATACAATCATGATTTTAGATTGTCCTAAGTCCAATGGCAAGCAATTTCTACTAAATGCGATCTCCGTATGCGACACTCGATGATCGATAGTGTACAGTGAGCGAATATCGAATACGCATATTATCAATTCGAAGAATAGATTACACGGGTGATACGATATACATGCAGTTGCAAACGAATATATGCAACGTTCACACGAAAAACGTGTCTGCGATTGGTGTCGTTGGTATCAGAAGTTGTCGGATTAGGTGCATACTATTAAATAACCGCCACGGTAAGACCTCCCGCATGTTGAAATCATTAGAATACTTTAAATTCAGTTAAAATTTTCCCACCCACTGTGAGTCCTTCGTACGTTATATTAACACCAGAGACTTGTTAAAACATCGTCTCAAATTCAAACCCTGCTCAGTATCCGTGTACAGTGGAATAAAAATCACGAATTTCTTCTAAAAAATGCAAGAAAAGCATTTCAGTGTTTAATTGTCATTTCGCTTCTTATTAAAATGAACAGAAAAGAAGTATAGGTCTTCTGATATGCAATAAACGCGAGGCATACGCAACTAAATTTTCATGTAAGAACATTACGTAGTTTCGTATGCAGCGCAGGGTACAGCGTCCGATGTGGAGTACGCACGTATTCTGTCCGGACACGTACATCGTGTAGTTGCTTCTTCCTTTTTTTCGAATGTCCTATTATCCGATTATCCTGCACCGTAAACCGAATACGAACTGGTCGTAAGATGATTTTTTTTAGTGAAGCGGCATCAGTTCAGTCTAATTAAAATTAGTTTCGATTTTAGGAAACCTTTCATTTTTAATTTAGCTACTTCAATAAGGGTCTAAAGACGGGCCTTTAACATTCGCCCGTTTGATGATACTGCCAGCCATTCAAATTTCTGCCTTCTCCAACGCTGGGATTTTGTGACGCGAACAAAAGGTGTATTCCGAGAAGCACCAGTTAATCCTTAGCCAAACTGCTTGTGGGATTTACCATTACAGTTGCCGAATAGAACAGCATATATCAGGAGGATGTGGGACCACCAACGATGGCGATGAAAACAATAGAATAATTGTTCTGTAGATTGTTTGTAGAGATTGACATCGCTGATTGACAATGTGTGAATTTGTTAACTGTTCAAGGTCACAGCGAGGGTTAACATGCTATAATCGAGGACAAAACAGCACTATAACTTAGCTTAAAGGGACTGTAAAGAGATTTTCCAAGTATTTTTTATGTATTAGGGACATTGATAACATCGATTTGCACCATTCAAATTTTCTGTAGTTCTGTTTTTTGACGTTAATATCGTAAAGGTCTTTAGATTTTACAACAGCTTTAGTGATAGCCACATTATTTACTTTAATTAATTCTAATTACATAATCGTACGATGAGATAACTATTTGTGATCCAGGTTCTTGTCGATCAAGCCAAACTTTTTAGTTGGGAATCAAACTTTTGGAGTGTAAGTTTTACGTAATATTATCATGCAAACCAAAAAAGGTCATACTTCGATAAACTGCGCTGAACATAAAGATTGAAAATTTAACACCTTCCGGTATTTCCATCCGAACCGGAAATGCTTCATTACGCAGTAGCAGATGTCAAATATGGCAGGAATGGGTCGTGTTGATTTTAATACATGAGGAGTGAGATTAGTGTCGTTTCCGGTTTGTTTAAATCATCCGTCACAATGATCTTTAGGAACAAGCCATCAGTTTATATCCGTTTCCTTCTCACAATGATTACTCCTGTCACACTACTTCCGGTTTGTTGTCCTTTAAGGGAGATCAAATTGTCCGTTTGAAATTGCCATCGTAAAGGTCACATGCGTTTATAAAATGACCTCCTTAAGAACAGTTTAATATTTCAGTGGCTTATTTAGGCAGTGCTTTTTTAGTCCCCCCCCCCCTCCCTCCCTGTGGTCCATGAAAAATGCACAAATTATTCTACTTTCATCGTTTAGCACATCACTGGTATAATGTAGCTGTAATAATTTTTCACTCAGAGGTCAGAGTCCATGACCCCACCCCCCTTCGGCCTGTGATATTTTGAAATGAAAATTAAGCCCTCTTAACACTGAAAATTCATCACAGACCGACTGAAATCCGTTGGCTTGTGGAGGCCTCTGGCAGACTTGAACAAGTCACCCATTAAGTCATTAAAACGATTAAGGGGAGGTAACTGCTATCTGTGGTATGACTACAAATAAGTAATACTTAAAGGGAGGTAGCCGCCTTTTGAGGCTAAGACTACAAATAACTAATTCTAAAAAGGAGATAACCGCTTTTTGAGGCTATGACTACAAATAACTAATTCTAAAAGGGAGATAACCGCTTTTTTGAGGCAGTGACTACAAATAACTTAAGGGGAAGAATATAACATGGTAGTTGCGATATCAGCATCCGCTGGAAGCGAACGTTAACTTGTCATCTACCTGCCAATATAACAAGGATTGTCCTGCAGGATGGAAATATCTCCTTTAAGTACACAGATATCGAACGACCTAAATATTTTCTTTTTCAAAGCGACCTACAATGTTTTTTTCTTCTTATTTCCCTTCAACAGTAGTTCAGATTGAACTTTCAATCGCGAAAAGGCAAATCCCGACTAATGAACTGATACGTTGGACAATTGGTCTGCTTTAACGTAAGCCGTTTCTCTTTCTGTCGCTTGTTATATTTCTTTCTCTCATAAATAAGATAGACATAATATGAAACAAGCCTAGAAACTCCTCCACCATACGGGCTTAAGAAATAGTAAAAACGACAGAGTAATCCACCGAGATCGATATGTACAATATAGGTCAAATAAATATTAATTTGTAACACATGTAGAATATAAATATCAAATCAATATTTCAATATTTATTTTCTGATCGCTTTGATTATATACCGACACAAATGAATTGTAGACATTAATGCGTTAATCAGTAATCAGCTATCGTCGAATAGATGCAAAAAATGATTCTGACGAATTGTTTACAGGGAAAGTGATAAATAATAAATGATAGATATGGCAAGCCTCGGGATACAAATAGGGGCAGGTGAGCTTAATAGGGGGAAGGGATAACCTCTCAGTCGAGGCTGAGATTCAAAATGCGTCATCTCTCTGGAAGCGTAAGGGTGCAAGTGGAATTGATTTGATGCATTCTGACACATATTTTGGGGAAGAAACGAATAAAAATCATATTCTTAAATTTGTAAGGAATAAAGTGGGGGTACAATTTTTCAATTTGCTATTTGTTATTAGTATCATCAGGATAGAAATTAAATATCGATTTGATAAAATTTAACTAAAACGTATTTGTGAATATCTACATCCAGATTGTCGCCAATTCCATGCTGTGCTACAGGCTGTGCACGTTAAAGAATTAGGTGCAAAACAGTAGGACATCATTTCATTTTATTAATGACTTTGTCACAAGCAAATGTTCTCTATCATCGGTCGTTAGTCAATAAGGGTTCGGAAGTGACGTTAGTCGAAACCTCAATGAAATTTTACTGCATGCAGGTTCGTAATCAGACTTAATTTTTCGGAGGGGCAAGTAATACATCTAGAGGAGCAAGTAATACATCAAGAGGGGCAAGTAATATACCCAGAGGGGCAAGTAATACATCCAGAGGGGCAAGTAATACACCCAGAGGGGCAAGTAATACATCCAGAGGGACAAGTAATACATCCAGAGGGGCAAGTAATACACCCAGAGAGGCAAGTAATATACCCAGAGGGGCGAGTAATACAATCCAGAGGGGCAAGTAATACACCCAGAGAGGCAAGTAACATATCTAGAGGGGCAAGTAATACATCCAGAGGGACAAGTAATATATCCAGAGGGGCAAGTAATACATCCAGACGGGCAAGTAATATATTCCGAGGGGCAAGTAATACATCTAGAGGGGCAAGTAATATACCAATAGGAGCAATAAATACATCCAGAGGGGCAAGTTATATATCTGGAGGGGCAAGTAATACATCCAGAGAGGCAAGTAATACATCCAGAGAGGCAAGTAATACATCAAAATAGGCAAGTAATACATCCAGAGAGGCAAGTAAGATATCCAGAGGGGCGAGTCATACAATCCAAAGGGGCAAGTAATACACCCAGAGAGGCAAGTAATATATCTAGAGGGGCAAATAATACATCCAGAGGGACAAGTAATACATCTAGAGGGGCAAGTAATACATCCAGAGGGGCAAGTAATATATCCCGAGGGGCAAGTAATAAATCTAGAGGGGCAAGTAATATACCAATAGGAGCAAGTAATACATACAGAGGGGCAAGTAATACATCCAAAGGGGCAAGTTATATATCTGGAGGGGCAAGTAATACATCTAGAGGGGCAAGTAATATACTTTGCCCTTTGTCCCCCTGTAGCTACGGCCGGCTCTAAGCAATATTCAGAACACTGCATCCCTTTAAATTTAACGTTATGTATAATAAAAGATGTCTTTTTTTGTCAGAAGTAATTGCTATATTAATATATGAATATGAATATATAACTATTGTATATTTATGAACTTTAAATAAGACATTATTCATAATATATTCCATTTGTGTTTAAACCGTATACTCATAATATCGACTCAAACATATACCAAAAGGTCATAATATACAGTCAGCAAGCAGCTGGGACTCTCACAACCTCTGTTTCACCAGGGGTCAAGGTCTAACAAGTTGATCTCTTCATTCACGCTTGTCAGCTTTCTGAGCGCTGATTGATATACTTTTATAGCGACAAGTATTTTTTAATATTTTGTGAGTTGGTGACAAATAACAATGCGTTCACCAACAAGGTTGAAATTTCCAATAGTTGTGCTTGGAATTCAAATTATTTTCATAGTTTTATTCGCGCTGACAGTGGAATATGATAAAAGTGCAGATGCCAAATTCGATATTCAACACCCACGGAATGTTACTGACAGAAATCCGCCAGAAAATGAAGTTTCTAAATATTACCCTAGTAAGTATTTATATCATATATATTTTTCCCCAGAAACTTGTAGTTCTGTTCTTTTGTAACATTAAGTTTCTTTCCTGCCTGTAGAGTGCTCTCTGGACTCCGTTGCTCAGCACTCATTTGAGAAAGAAACCAAGACAACGTTGTCCAAACAATACAACATCAAACTTTAATACATTTTAGGCAATACGTGTTTGTAATTTTAATCCACCGAAAATTGAAAACAACCGGGTCAAGTCTATGATATTGCTGTTAGTCTTCCATGAACACCGCTTTTTATCTAATTTCCGGGATCCTTTGCAGCCCGGTTTCCCCCATCAGTGATTCAGGCTGATATGGAAAAGTGTCTATAATCATTCGAATAGGGCAATAAACCAAGGCCTCGTCTACTACAGGCTGTTCATGTTAAAGATCCCTCAATAGTTGGAAATCGTAGAAGAGTAATGCAGTAATTGTGGCAATATTTCTGTCCTTGCAGGGTTTCCCTCAATGCATGTACACTGCATGTCATTGCCCGACTTCTTTAGCCCAATCAGGTGCAGAAGAGTAGGACGTAAAACTATATTCATTTTATTTTAATTTTTTAACACAAAGCTAAAATAATTTTTACTGATTGTTTATTGAAAATTTATGTATAAAACATGTGTTGCATTCTTATCTGAAGTGTGTTTCTCTTTATCGCCTATACTTACTGTTTTATTTTACATTGAATCATAGATTATAGGCCACAGAGGTGTATCTTGGTTGGGCATCGGAGAGGTACCTTTCTCAAATTTTGGAAGCCATGAAGTACGTTCTAAAATATCAAAAATTGTAAAGGCATCTTTATGTCATCTGTGGGGTAGAAACCAGATACTTGGTTGGGCATATTTAATTGGGCAATCAGACGACGTTGGGGCTGATAGAATCCGACAGCATCTGGGTTTTCAACGACTGCTAGCAGCTGAAAAAAAGATAGCATAATATTGGTACCTGATTTTGGGGAGGGGCCAACAACAATGGATACTTTATTTCTGGATTTTTAACGTCTGCTAGCAACTGGGAGGATCTTGGAGAATTTACTCGGTCGCTGTATATAGTTGACACGAATGTATCGACGGTTGTCCTGGAACTGATGGCCGACATGTTCTACCTGAATCAGCTAATGTTATTGATCGCTGTCAACTTTGAATGATCCAAGCTGCGAAGACCATCTTTAAGTTTAATAAGTGCACAATACATTGCTGAGCACGTCAAACCAACCTGAACAACATTCGAAGTTCAATTTCCTCAAAAAGAAATTATGATTATCACTAATTTAGCCATATTTGTGTCATAGATAATTGTTGTTGTACATTATGTACATATAAGTGATAAAGTCAAGCGATTCGCACGAACGAATCTTTTAGGAAGAATTATTTCGGTTCGTTTAAACGAGATCATTATTCTTTTGTTAAAAGATGTTTACCACTTCATATCTTTATTACATTGATGAACATGTTTGAAAGTAATTTTAATTTAGTAATTTAGATAAAAACGTTAGACCGTGTCTTTAACGACTCTGTATCTGTTCTCTCCAAAACACGTTCTATCGTTTTTGTCATAGGCTGAATGAAACCAGGACAAACGAACCCAGGTCGAACGAATCCGGGGTGAATTTGTAAAACTAAAATTTTGTGTTAAAAGTTATTGCCCTTGATTTTCAAGTCTGGCAAGCTGTCAAGTTGTTGTCCTAAAATGTACAAATATTGTAATTTTTTTTACAGTGTTTCAAGATGTACATGTCATGATATTTATTGGTTTTGGTTTTTTGATGACATTTTTAAAGAGATATGGGTTTTCAGCTGTTGGCCTCAACTTATTAATAGCGGCATTGATTCTACAATGGGCTACTTTAGTTCAGGGGTATCTTCATTCAGATGGCAATGTTCATATCAGCATCACCAGGTAAGTCCTAGGCCTCTACAGGTTGAAAGACGACATCGGGAAGCATTGGCCATAGCATCAGAATCATTCTTACGTTAAGGAGGATTCGAGCCCACTGCACTTAATCGCACATCGGACGACATTACTCTTGGCTACTGGCGGAGCTACTCTATTACCACTGCACGTTGAGGTGGTGTTTACGTTGGTTCGAACCTATGTCGGAGTATGGAAGTCTGGTGGTCTTGAATAAGTTCTCTTTCATCATTAGTCACTATATGGGTACGGATCCATGCCAAGAGGATTGCCAAACTGATAGGGAGGATCCTCGTAAACCTAACTGGCAGAAAGTATCCGAATGAGTCGTGTAAAAATAAATGGTTGTTTCTTTCTTTCCTTCTTTCTGGGTTTTAAGGCAAACAATTAAATGAGGTCTTCTTCCCACGGCCTTTTCGTCATAGTATAACCTTTGGATGTCCATTACTTACCATGCCGCTAATGAACCGTAATTAAAGTCTTGACCACCAAATAATTACAGTGTTCATTAGGCACTATGTCTATTTTCAGCATGATTACGGCTGATTTTGCAGCTGCGACTGTATTGATAACGTTTGGCGCCGTACTAGGTAAAGTCAGTCCGCTACAAATGGTGGTAGTCGCCCTGATTGAAGTGGTTTTAGCTACACTCAACGAGAAGGTCGGAGTGCAAATATTTCAGGTTAGATTTATAATTATATGAATTTCCTTGACATTTTTTTAAAAGTAAGGTTGTGCTCACTGGGCCAAAACGTAGATATATATCGACCTTTTGTAAATATTTTAAAGGTTTTTTTCAGGTTTCTGATATCGGTGGTTCAATATTCGTTCATGCTTTTGGTGCTTTCTTTGGACTAGCTCTAGCCCGTGTGTTGTACGATGAAGATGTGGAACGTTCAACTAAAGAAGGTTCTGTTTACCATTCAGATCTGTTCGCTATGATAGGTAAGATAACATACCATGGTTCCATCTTCACAATGTCAAGGTATAATGAACTCCGTCTAATACCTTGTATTGTTTCATAAAAATGTACAAATACAGCAATTTGATTGGATTTCAGAGACCTCGACAAGGAGGCCATAATGTTTACAGTCAAAGGCTATTTGCTCAATCGCAGCATCTAAGCTATAAATGGTTCTGATACATGGAAGGCTTTTTTCTTATCTCTTTTCTTCCCTCTCCTAAGCCTTCTTACTGTCCTGATACTGTGTTATATCGGATTTCAGGCACAATATTTCTATGGTTATTTTGGCCGAGTTTTAACAGTGCTTTAGCAGTAGGCGACGACCAACACCGAGCAGTTCTCAATACCTATATGGCATTAGCAGCATGCTGTATCGTAACCTTTGCTATATCAGCACTAGTCGATGGTGAAGGGAAGTTTGATATGGTTCGTAGTTCTCAAGTTCTTCTATCAATTTACTGAAACTTTTCGGATGGGCCCGTTCTCATGCCAACCATATTCTAGAAAATATATCAATCAGACAACACGCTAGAAGTGGGTTACTTGCGCAAGAAGCAGCTTTGGGATCATTTTTGTAACCAACTCAGCTATAGGCTTAAACTTGAACTTTTGACCCTGGCTTTATGTTGTTAATAATAGTTTGTACAGCTCGACACCACATTGTGTATTTAGAAACAATTTCACACATTCTCATTAGACAAAATATCTATCAAGACTATCAAAACAAAAGAATGTACAGTCGATGTACTACCCAGGATCAGTTTGTAATGGAGAAGCGTTTTTATCTTCCAGGTCCATGTTCAGAATGCAACATTAGCAGGTGGTGTAGCTGTTGGTACTAGCGCTGATATGATGATACAACCAGTAGGTGCTCTGGTAGTTGGTGCTGTGGCCGGGGTCCTCTCAACTTGTGGCTACAGATTTATTACTGTAAGTTTTGGGCAGGTCAATTGTTCTCGGGGGTGGGGTCCCCCTTGGGGGCTGGGTCCCGTGGATTTTGTTCAACCAGTCTTCGTGGTAGTTCAGCCACTGGTCTTGTCATGTATCTACTTCTCTTTTGCAGTTTTCCGTATAGTATACATAGCTCATTGTGTTCTTGTTTTAGTTTCTCAGTTTCTAATTACCAATGAGATAAAGCATTCTCTGCTGTTCAACACTGAATACAGAGCCATAAATTTACCGGGTCCGTACCTATTTGAAAATGGACAGGACGTTCACCGTTTACTGTTCACATGAGAAGCTCTGGTTGTTTGCAGTGTCCTCCTCTCCTAGGCTCCAATCCCTATGTTGATTAGATCAGCATTCCATAACCGTTTTTAATTTCAGCCTTTCCTAACGAGTAAGTTAAAGCTACATGATACATGTGGAGTGAATAACCTCCATGGTATGCCTGCTGTCTTGGCTGCTGTTATAGGATCTATTGCGGCTGCTGTTGCTAATACAGATACATATGGTTACAGGTGAGGACATCATCAGCAATGTAGTATGAGCTTACTCCAGTGGGTACAAAAAGGGGGCAAATAGACTGGCTTAATTGGGCTTAACCTAACTGACTTAATTGTCGAGGGTGATATTCAAAATGTGGCAGATCTGTGGAAGGCATAGGCGCAAACCTTAAAAGGGCGAGGGTTCAATTTGAGGTACAAACCATTTTTCCAGGTCAGATTGCTCAAGAAGCATTGCATCAAGCATAAATCGAGCTATGAAGAAGATGTGGGAAAGTTGATTATCTAACAGACGAGTCGGTCCTTGGTTTGTTTCAGTCTGTATGAGAAATTTCCAGCTCGAGTTCCCAAGAAAGATGACCCTGAGTTTGCTAAAATCAAGCTGTATGTAGATGTATCTCCTGGTGAAGGTCGGACTGCTGGACAACAAGGTGGTTACCAGATGCTTGCTCTAGCTGTTACTCTGGCTATAGCTATAGTTGGTGGTGTCATAACAGGTATCTTGTACAGTGGTCTTTCTACTTGGGAGGGTCCGACATTGTGAGATTATCAAGGTGAAAATGTCTTCAAGATTATGATATACTAAGGGAGGTAACTACAAAATTTAGCCAATATTGCAACCAACAACAAAAGTAACATCAACTCAATATTCTGGTATGAATAAGGACGGTGGCTGTAATTTTGATAAACTAGGGGAGGTAACTACAAAATTGAAACCACATTGAACAACGGAAACATCTGACTCAGTATTCTAGAATAAAAAAAGGACTGTGGCTGCAGGTTTTTGGCAAACTAAAGGAAGCAACTACAAAATCTAATCCATATTCAACCAAAAAAAAATATATAAACTCCATGAATTATATTACAGGTTTCATCATTAAATTTATACCAATGTTCGTGGCGCCGAAGAAAGAGCAATTATTCGAAGACGAGCCTTATTGGGGTGTTCCAGACGATCACAGAACGTACCCTAATATTCCAATTATCATTACGACAGAAGCTACGGATTCTCATGCGTCTGTCCCTAGCCTTTATCAACATGTGACGGCGCGGTTATTGGAATCGGACGAACCCGTCAACTCAGAACGACATTCAAATTCGTCATTAGAAGACGAGAAAGAGTCTATAGAAAATAAAACTGCTGATATTGACGTGTAGCGGAGTTAGTAAAGAGTCAGTGAAGGAATATGTGATAGAAAATCTGAGAGCTAATTTTCAATTGAAAGGGCGAGAACGAAACATTTTGCGTTACGATCTTGTACCTTCGAGTTATGGTTTGTTATAGAAATTTAAAGGGTCAGATGTGCCATTTCTTGACCAATCATAACTTAGTCTCAGAAACGGGATTTTAGCTAGGCCAAACCAATCGGCAATAGTGTTGAAATTTAAGCCTTCAAATCGTCTTTTCTTATTGACACTGCCATATATAGAAAATAGACAACATTGTCCACTATGAGATTCAAAATGCGACAGCTCTGTGGAAGCGCATAGGCAAGAGCATCCAACTGAGCTGAAAGGTTTCTCCCGTAACCTTCTGAAAAAAACATATAAAAAGCCTTTTTTGTAAATGAAGTTAAATGAGGGTTTAATTGGGGGATACAAACCATTATTGTTATTGGTGGCAACTGCTAAAGTTGCCGAACGTTTGTTTTTTAAAGAATAAATTATATCGTTACTCATTGATAACTCTTTATAATGACCCAGTTAAAAACGCTGTACTTACTGTAAAGTTACAACATTAAAGTTTATTTATTTTGTTACATCAAAACATATATTGACATAACCATCTACTATTTTTGAAATTTTCGCCCTTTTTCTAACATTTTTTTTAAAGTCGTACTATCTCTTAGAATTAACATACAATTTAGATGTTCAAACTTGACCAAAAAGAGTATATATTCATCTTTGAACCTAGCCGACCTACTACTTAAAGGCGTTTTTAAATAATTACGCTGTTTTATAAATTTTTTTGTATAGTTATCACACCAGGTAACTTCACTGATAAATATATACTCTTATTGACCAAGTTTGAGACTTTAAATTTTATGTGCATTCTAAGAGGTAGTATCTTTTTAAGTACAAGTAAACTTATGCTTGTCATCTTTCTTTTGTACATGGTTTTCAATGGACGTTATTTCTTTTTGTACGACCTGATTCTAATAAAATTTACTCTGTGATAAAACTGGAGGAATAAATGGAATAATCGTGAGGTATTGTGCTATTATTAAAGATATTATTCAAGTTGTTTCAGTAGTAATAGTAATTTTTTTATTCGGGACATCATGCGAGATAATCCAAAGTTTTTTTCATGATATTTTTTACAGATATTGACACAGTTATTACAAAGATTATACAAGGTATCATAAAACAATATTAAAGACATTTGACAAGGAATATATTCTATTGAACATTTGACAAGGAATATATTCTATTGAACATTTGACACGGAATATATTCTATTGAACATTTGACAAGGAATATATTCTATTGAACATTTAACAAGGAATATATTCTATTGAACATTTAACAAGGAATATATTCTATTGAACATTTGACAAGGAATATATTCTATTGAACATTTGACAAGGAATATATTCTATTGAACATTTGACAAGGAATATATTCTATTGAACATTTATCAAGGAATATATTCTATTGAACATTTGACAAGGAATATATTCTATTGAACATTTGACAAGGAATATATTCTATTGAACATTTAACAAGGAATATATTCTAGTGAACATTTGACACGGAATATATTCTATTGAACATTTGACAAGGAATATATTCTATTGAACATTTGACAATTAATATATTCTATTGAACATTTGACACGGAATATATTCTATTGAACATTTAACAAGGAATATATTCTATTGAACATTTGACAAGGAATATATTCTATTGAACATTTGACAAGGAATATATTCTATTGAACATATTCTTCTGAACATTTGACAAAGAACATATATTGAACGCAGTGAATCACACCAAATATGGAACTAAGATATTTTGAAATGATGGAAATCCCCAGGTGTTTTACGATGAATTGGGAAGCTTTACAAGGATGTAAAGAGGACATAAAAACCTTTTGAAATCCTTAACAATAAGAACATATAAATATTCAGTTGAAAAGAATAACATCTCATTGTGGTTTACTTCATCAGACTAACAGTAAAATGGCAAACTTACTTTTTCTGGTTTTGATTTTGACGGTGATAATGTCGAAAGGTAAGTTCTGACGTTTTTAAAAACATGTTTTGAATATATAGAGTTGAAAGTCTACTCCGGAGTTACTAGTCGTGGCATCAGACTCTTTCTTACCTTGAGAAAGATTGGAAACTACGAAACACAATCCCCTTGTAGATGATAATCCAGCTCGCTACAGACAGAGCTATTCCACTGTCATTCACCAATAGTGAAAAAGCAGCAGTGAATAAAACTAATAGAAACCTTAAAAAAATCATATTTTGAAATTTTTGTCAGAAATAAATTTGGGGATGCAAACTATTGGGATGTCTGACAGAGACTCTTTTAGGTAGGTCATTTACGGGGATAAGATCACTGACAGGGTTTTCATCGCATTGGTGATTCTTGATACGTCAAGCTATGACCGAGCCTGTTTATTAAATTGCGGCGTGTGCTTAATAAATGTGCTTCAAGCCATTTTTATACTATAAAGTTATACGCTTTCTAGTAAAATTAATTTACTTTTTAACCAACTATTGAATCTAATTTATCCTGTTAATTAAAATTAAACGATCAGAGCAAGTTACCACTAACACTTTATGCCTGGCCCTATATATGGCGATATCCAATGGGTATATCACGTCGAAGTAACGGATACTGCCAGATTTGTCGGGCTACAAAAAACGTCCGTGGTAAATAGTCACTGCGTAAAATAATTGTTCTGTTGACACGGAAGCAAAAATAGGCCTATCATAATTTTGAATATTTGATAAGAGGGAGTTTCCATAACGATAACCATTATTCTTTTTCATTGTTCATTTTTTCATTGTAATTTTGAATTATTTGAAAGTTTTTATGTGAATTTATAAGTAAATATTGCACATTCCGGTTCCATTGTCCAATTTTATTTGCTCGTTTTCAAAATATTATTCATATATATTTTTTTTAGATTTCTTCTATAATTCAAGTTTTTTTTTTATATAACTTGTATCCTCATCCTTTTCAAAACTAAATTGTGAAATACATGATACCTACATACGGTCGTAGTCGCACAAAAGCGCCCATACAAGTATCCAATGATACTATTTGTAGTATATGCAAGGACAACAGGAGCCGTTCTAGAGAGTTCACATAGTTAACTCGGTACCAGTAACGTCATGTTTTTTTTTTTTTTTAAGAAATTAACTGTGAAGACAATAACAAAGGTAAGCTTTTCATTATGTACTGCAGATAAACAGCTACAGGTGTCAGATTCAGAATTAGAATGGTGCAGAACGATATCTTCAGTGCGCTGAATACACATAAAATGTTTAGCAAATCTCCCTTTAGGCCGTTATTTGCACATAGCCCCGCCCCAACTCCACTGCTTACTGATTAAAGAGATTATCTTTTGTCGCAACTAAAGCGTTTGTTACTTAAAGGTTTGATCCGGCATTGGTTAAGATAATACCAAGGATTTTTAAAACCTTGCAGATCTACAACGGAGTACAAAGGTTTCTAGTCGTCCCGATGGTACATGAAACAAAGATTTCGTGTGCTACAGGCTATGTACGTTAAAGAGCCTTCAACAGTTGGAAATCGAAAGATGCATGCCAATTCCGCTGTCCTTGCAAAATGTTCCTCCTTGCACACTGCAAGGTATTCCCTTTCTCCATTAGCCTATTGGGTGCAGAAAAGTAACACGTAAACCTCTATTCAATTAATTTAACTTTACTTAAAGGTTACCATGTAGAGGTCATCGCTACGCCGCAGTCGTCTGTTGTAAGAGATGGTGACATCGTGACCTTGACCTGTTGGAATGACCTCCCGATGAATTTACGGAATAATGTAAATGTACAATGGACAGTTACCAATGCTAGATACAATACCGATACACATAAATGGAGGAACGAATCAAACATTTTAACTGTGAATGTGTCGTACACAAATGATTGTGATGTATTCTCATGTCAACTTTTCCTCAATGGTGTTCGAATCAGCGCCGACAACAAAAAGCCGTTTAAAATCAATAAAATCAACAAATCAGGTCAGTGCTTGATAGTCGATCAAAGGTATACCTATTTAAAAAACGAGTACTACAGGCTTGTGTCCACATACGCGTTTTAAAATTTAAGCGTTATCGGTGTGAGCCAATGAAGTCGCAACAAAATGTCACGTGAGCATATTGAAAAAAACGCGACGTAAAACGAGTATGCGGACACAAATCTTTCCGATCCATATCACAAACGAACCCAAAACCCAAAACCTCACATTGGCGAGGAAATCTATCAGTCATAAGTGAGTATTCATTATAAAAGATGGTACCAGGTATCTAGAAGAGTAAGCATAGCACGTATATCGCCACATCCGTCAATAATGAGTAAATTTCAAAATAATTGTTGTCTTTTTTTGGGACAGGCCCGTAGCTACAGGGGTATCCCCCGGCTCAACCTCGAACTAAATAGCATACACTATTGCCTTCCTAAAAAATCCAGTCCGGCTATGGGCCTACTTTCAGATCTGTCTTTGTTTTTCAGAAGAAATGCCCAAGCATGTTTCGTACACAGGAGATTCCGTTACGTTTATCATTCCTAAAGATATCTTCGGGAACGGAGGGACGAAGAGGTTTTATCACAGTTCTGGTTGGTGCTTGTATGAAATAGCCATGATCAGGGGCATCGGGGAGAAGTGTACACCTACAAATCAAACATATATCAAGCATATTATATCGCACATTTCCATGAAGACGAACCATGCTGTTTACATCACCATGGAAGATTTGTCTCCCTTTGATAGCGGGCAATATAAAGTGAAAGATTTGGCCTCCGGGAAAAAGAACGTTTTGTGGACTGAGTCCTTACTTGTGTGGGGTAAGATACTTTTCACAGACAGACGACAGACATATAGTTCCTGTAGGTTCTGACGCACATTGACACCTTGTGAAGGTCCCCCGACCCCCCCCCCCCCCC